ATTACATTTGAATAGAGATGAAAATATGTCTTGAAGAGGTTAATTCATTGCTGCACTTTATATATGACCAGCTGGTAGATCATAGAGACAAAATACATCTCTGTTTCGAGGGAGACCAGACTTATAAAACCAAAATGTTTATAAAATACTTAAACAAATGCAAAAATTACTTAAGAACTGCAAGGCAAAATATGCCAAAAGCGTAAACCCGAAAACAGATATTAAACGTGATATCACATTAAAATTAAGTACATTACCAGGATTATGTTAGTGAATACTTAATATTCTACTGTTTACATTCGTACATTATGTATACCTTGACATTTTTAATAAACTACCCGTTGAAAGCATTAGTAAATATTAATGGGGGCAAACTTCGTAAAATAATGGGTTACCAGTTACACCACACCTACCCAGTACACATGCAACACTGGACCAACGTTGGTATGTGGTTAACATGATGACTGGGTAAATCCATCCTTCGTTAAGGTCATGGGCAATAAATACAAAGATCCCCCTACAGCCTGAACAGAATGTTGAGTGGTAGTTTAGCGGTTAGCGCGCTGCACTACAAACCCGGTGTCCCGAGTTAGATTCCTGCTCACGGTTAACACCAGTGATAGCAAATATCTGAACGGGTCCTGAGCCTCCCCTAGGTCTGCTCGGCCTCAAATGAGCATCTTGTGTGCTGTGTAAACATCACTACTGGGGAGACAAAGGCGGCCGGGCGTGGCGTTGGCCACCCACCCCCTCGTGTGCCGCTAACCTCACTTGCCCCACGACAGCATGGGCAACACTCACTTAAACAGCAGCAATCTATTTGTGTGAACGTGTTGAACTGGGATCAAGCTGAACGCCTCTGTTTTCACCTTAACAAACATCTGCTCATTTCAAGCACCACAGCAACGGCTTTCATTGACCGGGCTTTTGGCACTAAACGCAATGCCTTGCGAAAAAAACGCTCATTTGATCACGCGGTAGTCACCGTCAAGACAGGCTGCCAATAAAGTCCCTGTGAACACCACGGAGCGCGAGTGGGACTGTGAGCAGAGTAAGCTGGATTGTCCGGTGACGCGGATTATATTATTGAAGGGCTCTTGTGTCTGTGAGAATGAGGCTTTTCACTCGAACCAATCGGATTGCTCGAGTCGTCACTGTTTTAATGGTTTGCCTACATGTACACACACATAGCCCTCTTTTGGATGAAATCGCCATACACTAGTAGGGGGCAATCGTCAAAAACTGGTCGTTATTTTATCCATCGTGAAGGGATGATGGGCCGTGTCTGCGCAGACAGGGCTTTGAACTTGTACCCTTCCATTCATGAGTCATCCGTATAACTGCTTCGTAAAAAAAAATTGCCAAAGGTTATATATTTTTTATTTAAATTATTGCTAATTAAGATAGAACTTACAATTACACTGGCTTCCACACTTGGGGGAAGAAACACTTACTTTTAAAGGTCAGTCTTCAATAAAAACACAACCTGAAAGCTTTCAGTACATTTTATAAAATCATTAAGACAAGCGCTGCCAGCCAGCTATCACATCAAAGGCTGGTCGAGGGAGCCTGGGAATTCAGCCGCGTGCACTCAAGCAAACCACACCAGACAACGCGCCCGACACGGGACAGACTCTGCCTTAAAATAAAGTGAAATTCTATCGCAGAGTTTACCGCACGCAGGAAAATACCGGCAGTGGCATGGTCATTAATTAAGTTACAGTGAAACGATGTTACGTTGAAAACAATAACCTTGGATGGAAGTGTCTGTGATTTTGAGCCGTATGTTAAGTGAAAAGGCACCGATTGAATGTTTCACCTTCAATAGAAATGCCACGGGGTGAAGTTGTGGCGCAGTTGTGAGCGCAATGTACTAAGAACCCGGCCACCCAAGTTGGATTCCCAGCGATGGCTCAGGTGAGCGGTGAGTATTGAGAATCGGTTCTAGGCCCCGACCATCACCAAACCACACGAACCAGCGTTGTGACCAACAGTGCATAGAGTGGCCCGAATCCAACAGTAGATTGACAAATGCCTGTAAATTATTCATTGTTATAAACGACAAACAGAAAGACGCTACGAATCTTAACAACGTTCATTGAAGCTCTGTCGTCCCGACAGGTTTGTTCCTTTCACCTGAAGAAGGCCACTTGTGTTGTGGCCAAAACGTCGTGAGGATTTTAGTGTTATTTTATTGTATTATTTTATTCTCATTCTACGTGACTTTACCGAAAGAACCAAAGAAGAGAAATAACCTTTCAGGGCACAGCAGAGTGCGTCGCGCGCATGAATTGGAGTGCATCCAAAAAAAACACGAGAGTCAAATTTGATCGGCAAGTCCAAGACAGTTTTACGGCAATGCCAGAATTTTTCGTTTTCTTTGCAAGTCATTAAATTGAAGGCCTTTGGTGCTGGATGGGATGGCAGTTGACGTAAAAAATTCAAAACTTAGCTCCACTCCAACTGACAAGTTGCATTTTTTGTGAATGTCACAAAAGTGAAAATGTACACAAATTAAAACATATTAAGGGTATTTGCGAGTAAAATTACGTTTAAGGAAAGTGACACTTCACAGTATATGTGCAGTTCTGGAAAGCAAATACGGTACCGGAAAGGGCATTCTTGAGAACATTTTAGATTAATTTTCATGATAAAGAGAAGATGACGTGATTATACCGGCTCAGGTAAAATACTAGGTGGATGATTACACAGCAGGATCATGAGATGGCAGCAACCTGAGGCCTTCATCCAGCAGTGGAATGAGCATGGCTGATATTGACGACGAGGATGATGATGATGATGAAAGTATCCTTACTGACAGCGTCATGGTTGCTGGTCACAGAATATTACGCCATTGCACGCATGCCAAATTCTGGGCTATTTCCCATTTAAAAGTCCTTTCTTTTTATAATATACAATTACGTATTGCCGACCTTGGCGAGATGATCTTGGTTTTTGAAGCTCTGGGGGATGACATGTCTTCACCTTTCTCGTTTGAAGACTTGAAGATGACTGGAATCAGTACTCTTGGATTTCACATCGCGTTAACGTCCATCAATCGTTCGATTCTGACCACAGCTGTTACATTCTAAAACGCTTTAACACAAGGCCCCACACCAGCTTCGAGTCACTGCTCACACTCCAGATGATTTGTTTTGCCCATAAGGCCTGAGTAAATACAATATCAATTAAAACAAGATGTTACTGCTTCAGCGACTATTTGGTTCAGAGAATGTACTTTAGCACTTAAAGAAACAAAAATAAAGTGGTGGACATTTCAACTTAGATTTTTTTTTATTGTGCCAAGTCAGACACATTTTTTAACGATTGTCAAATGTCATTGCATTGGTTTGTGTTTTGTACAAAAAATCAAATCTGCAATGATCTCACCGGCATCTTCACATGTACATAAATGTATGTGTTTTTTTATAATTGTTAAAGGTTTATTTTCTCATTACTGCATTTTCAGCATAATTGCCTAATTTGCAAATGATTATCAATCATTTTGCAATGTTACTATAAATACCAGGCGTTTTGTTTTACCTTTTCAATGAATCACATTGGACTCCTCAATATTCAACAATGACATACAAACACTCAGATTGCAACAAGCGTGCTCGTCTTGCTAATGAGATTAGAACAAATATTTTCTCCTCCAATATTTCACATCGAATTATGTTTTTAAAAGGTATAGTATGCAATTGGTTGGCAGATAAAATAAATTAATGCATGCGCACCACCATCTATTACTAATCCTCGAAACTCCTACATGTATTCAACAGCAGGCAAAGGTGAAAGTGGGGATAAGACACCAGTAGCGTGTTTCTGCATTTATAGATCTCAAGGACAGATACGCTCATGAATGCAGTAAGCAGTCAAGCACTCACAAGTGGGCAGCGCAGTGGTGCAGACCGTATTAATGGGTGCAACAGCAGTGGAGAGCCTAAGAACTTAAGCCCCCTTCTTGTCTCAAGTTGCTAAATCAAAGGGCTAAACAGGAATTTACACACCCAAGCAATAAAAAAAATCCACCCTAATGTTACACTCCACCAGCCACTTTAATTAAATGTTCTTAAATGCCCCCATCTGCAAAACATTTATGCTGTCAGGTTACTGACGAGGACATGTGTTAAGTTAGCCATTAAAAATATACTTCTATTTGTATTTCAGTATTTTGTAATGCACCCTAGTAGCTGGCTATATTGTAACAGATATGGTTTCCTCCAGCTGCCTAAGTTAAAAAGGCCACAGCTTTGGCTCTGCTTTAGCAATGAATAATATCATCAGAACACTAGATACTGAATACAGCATGTGCAAGAATGGTGATGTCATCTTGACCCGCAAAGCATGCTGGGATTCTCTTCGCGTATTTAATTGGAGATACATTTTTGCAAAACAACAAATATTTTACAAATAACTTTTACCACACTCATTATTTTGTCATGTGATTTAGTGGTAGTGGTAATGATGATCTTGCCTATACTGCATACAAAAACGTCTGGAAAAACGAATCCATAAAAGCAAACCAAAGAAACTCACAACAAAAATATGAATGCACGTATAATGTCGTTTGCAAAACACAAAATTTATACAAACTGACAAACAGGACTTTTTACACGTGTAATCCAAAGCAGTTCCTTAATTTAATTAGTACTCGAATTTCCAATACTACAAGTGCTGTGCAGATTTCACTCTGTGAATTCCTGTGGCACCATCAAGTGGCAATTACAATCGACTGTCAAAAGTATACATTCTCTTAAAATTTAACGTTAAAGTTTTGACGGCACAATTCCAAGGCAGCGTACAAAAGCAGTGTTCGAGATTTACTGCTGTTAAACAAATCAGCCGCGGAACAAATTATAGAGATTAACAGTGGCAATGTAAGATGGAAAAATCCGAAAAAATTGTGACAATAAATTCAAGTGAATACAAAAACAAAATCCAGAGCATCTGTTATACACGCGAAGGCTCCAACCAAAATAAAGCACGCCGAAATAAAATCCATAGCCAAATGAATCAACATTTTATTATCTTGCTGCTAGATACATTACCTGAATGAACATTACAACAAAAAATACAAATGCATAAAACAAACTGAAATATTAAAGTGACTACAAGCATCGACGTTCCAAAAAGTTATGATGACAGCATATGGTGGTACGCTTTACACTGTGCAAGAAATACGCAATGGTACTCAGTTTTAAATACAAATCCAATCACGTGCGACCAGTCATAATCACATGGGTGTTTCAGAAATGCGGGTACAGATAACAGGGCATTAAGGCTTTTCCGTTTCATTGCAGCCAATTCGTTAAGAAACATGTGCTGACGAGTCAAACGTGATTGGCTGTGCACACACAATTTAAAGAGACCGAAAGGTCACCTTGAGAAAGCAGCATGCTAGCCTACTTACAGTATTAGATGGAGGAGTTGAGAGTGAGAGGCTTCTACAGGAAGCTAAGCCACACAGATAATGATTCAAGCGTTGTTGTTGTTGTAATTTTCCACAGGTTGTCCTTTGCGTCTCGTGTCACGAAATGAAGTATCCGTTCGGAAATCTCACGGAGCAGTGCAACGACCCTTATTGTTTAGAGAACAGCCCACGGCACCAAATATCGCCTCTGAAATCCATGGGAGTAAACTGTCGCCTACGCAGTAGGTGGCAGCACTTTGCCACCCATACGCCACCGAGACGAATGTTCGTTGCATTCCGGTGAAATCCGATCATTTTAATTTTCAGAGCTTGAAATTAAGCCAAATAAAGTGCAGAATCAAATGTGTGTATGGGTTTTTGTGTGTGTGTGTGTGTGCAGTCATTGATGACAGGGCTGAGACCATCAACTTGCTACACTTGGATTTAAACCCAGGAACTCTAGCGAGCAAGCTCAGCGCCCTCGACTCTGAGCCATCTGGTCACCTCACAAATGCTTAAGCAAAGCACACAATAGTTCGTTGACTTGTGGTTGGTCAAAAACACATGTCGAACCCACCACTGTGGCTTCATGAAATCATGGGTCTAAGAAACTGCTACGTTGGCCAGATCTTTGTCTCTCAGAACAGTCCTTACATAAGACACATCCCCACGAGTGCACAGCAAACCGTATCCTTTTTCAACTCAGTCGACAAATCAATGCATTGTGCAGAAAAGTAGCGGTGCAGAAAACTTCCAAGGTCAATTTATAAGGGCAAGGTCTAACTTTGCACCTCAACAAAAGTCCCCAAAAGCCTTGCAATAAAATAAAACTAGCCAAGTCCCCTTGAATTCAGCCTGCTGCAGAGTTCGCCTATTTTTTTTTCATCTCCACGTTCCTAATTCCCCGCCGCATTTGCTGACCGTTTGTGCTTTATGGAGGGGTCTTAAAAAGGTTCAGCAGTAATTAGGAGTGCTACCCATCCACCTACCGCACCCCCCCCCCCCCCCCCTGGGGTACACAACAGGGCATTTCTGCTTGGCTGCTCTGTGTGAAGAGACGCAGCTCTTCAATTCGCTGCGTGTGGAGAGGCGGGGAAATGAAGAAAACAGTTGGGGGCAGGAGGTAACAACACGCTATAGCTACAAAAAAAATCCTTCTCTTTTAATGTTCCAATTACTGCGGTGTTATTATTTTACGATGCCAACAATATTATTAGCGCATGCTATGGAAATGCTGCTTATTTCTTCGTAATTGCACAAGCCAAAATGTACTGTGTTGATGCATTAGGTAATTAACTGGCCCTAGTACCATAATACCCATATCATATACCGTTTTGGAATTGATGAAAACTGATGGAGTATATGCGGATGACCCGAATGACATATAGCAATAAGTCCTTGTTGTTGCACAGCAAAGATTACTGATGCGTAAATATCGTGTTATAAATATGGCTCCGTTACGCACTTTTGGCTCCAGGTTCTAGCTACTTTTAAAAACGCAGTTATTTTAGTCTTGATAATGCCACATAACTGGAATCTGCACTTTCTGACAAATGATTATAATCTTACAAAAAAGACTAAGATGCTCATAAATTGACATCCTTTTTTTCCCAATTCTGCAAGACACTGATTTTTACGTTTTAGATCTGACAGTGATTGTGCAGCATTTCACTTTTGCAAGGACAAGCACAAAAGGCAGCGACTTCAATAGCACATAGTTTTATGAAATGCAGTTCAAATAATTTGGAACAAACATTAATATGCTATGTTGTACTCAATGGGCAGAACAACAAAATGAAAAAAATGTGTTTACCCATGTGCTACATGGCACAAGCACGTGGACATTGGGGGCCCCACAAACTAAAATATAGAATCGCTTTGGAACAGGCCGTCAATAAAGGGCATTCTCACAGCAACCCGCAAACAAAATGCAAAGCTCCCGTGGCTCCCCTTCGGAGCCGGCGTTTGTCTGCGCATGCACTTTGCGTGACTTTAAGCTCCACGGCAGAACTGTGCACGTGACCACGGCGGATCCACGTCGGTCGACTCTTCGCGTTGTGCGACCCGCTCAATTGCCGGGAAGGGGATAGAAAAGGTCAAAGTCCTCCTCGACCCTCCTCCCCCCCCCCGCCCCGGCGAGATGAAGTGATCCAAATAAGCAAACCCCGCCAAGTGCTTGAGCGTGGCTGCACAGGTAAAGAGATATTTGGGGACCTTTCCACCCACCGTGCCCGTTACCTGCAACCGCTACGGAACGACAGAAACGCGCGCGCACACACACACACACCCAGCGTGGTGGATATTACCGACTGCCCGCCGCCAAGAGCCTCTTCAGAAAATGAGCCTCGTCCCTCTTTTCTCGCGCGCGCAAGCCGCAAGTCATTCGTTTCACCGATCACAAAGAAACTCAATGTGCCTTTGAAACTAAAGTTTGCGGTGCACGTACGTTCGTTACATGTCAGTGCCGGCGTGATAATTTAGCGGTTTGTTTGTGCTATTCAGCCGCTGCAATTTAATCTCCGGGTAAAATCGCAGTGTACGTCACGCCAACTTTGGAGGCTTTCTTATATATTTTTTTAGTTTTTGGTGAACGAGCACGTGCTGATAATTCCGCGCAGTTACTACTCGCGTCTGAAAATTTGCAAGGAACAGCGGTGACCGATAATCTTCACTCACATTTGAATGTAATCTCTTTATGGTGTAATGCGCACAAAAAAATATACGTGCATTTTGCATTCTTTTCTTCTCATCTTTGCTAAGCATATAGCGTGCCACCTCCCGCAGCGACGCATTGTGGAGCTAAAGCCGACCATCCGTGAGCAGCGAACACAGGGGACCAATATGGGACCTTTCTTGCCAGTATCAAAATATAACAATAGGTTTTTATCCTTTCTGGCAGTAAAACAGTTGTGCTAAGATGTTAAAAAAACAAAAGAAAGCTGTCTCTGGTGTGGACCAATCAGACAACGCATACATTACCAGAGCGTGTTTTTTTTTGTTTGCATGGTCGCCACAAGTGTGTGGTTCATGCAGACAGGATTCCAGTTTGGTATTTTAACAACTTGACACAACCGTTTTATTGCCAGAAAGGGTAAAACCCATTGTTATATTGTTATACAAGGAACCAACGTAGTCGTCTCTACATGCGGGGAGAGCTGCAGGAAAAAATACTTTCTTGGCAGGCCACAACAGGAGTAAGCTCACCCTATCATGCACTTTTAAATCTCGATTGAAAACTATTTTTTTTTAAACTGGTTCGTTGTCCTTCCCCCACACCTCCGATTAGCAGGGTTGGCTACGTACGGTGCAAAATAAGTTCAACATACAAATATTGATTTATATTTGAAAATGTATCTGAAGTAGCTTTTATGAAATTTTTGTAAGTCAGTTTTTTTATATGTATCGACATATGACATTTTGCCACCGTTGAGTTGCAAAATAATTTTGGCGACACTTGCCTAATTTCTGGACATGGGGATATTCATCGAATTATACTTCTTAGTTCTATTGTAAAATAACAAGCCGTACATGTTTAGTAACCTTTAATTGAGAGCGATTCCTTCAACATTTGAATCTTATATATTTTTCAAACTATTTGTTAAAAGTATGTTTGACACCTAAATATGTGGGTATGTTTTTTTAAAATCTAATCCTATATTTTTTGCAGCTCATTGTGGTAAACATTGCATGTAGCGGTGAACTTTTTTGTCAGGCAATAAGTCTAACATATGGCATCCATTTGAAACAGCTTCTGAAATAGCAAACATTATTGAGACGGAGTGATTCGAATACATTTAAAATAATTCGAGCTTCTCGAATATTTATGGGTACGAGCGACAATAAAGGCACACACACACACGTAAAACAACAATTCCACCATCTCTAACCACTTTGCCATGTGTGCTCACACAAAAAAAACATAGATATACATCTAACGAAATGGCTATGATTTGTTTCATAGCTTATCGTTCAACAATCAACTAACTGTTAAAGGGGGTACTCGGATTTAAATTGTCGACAACGAGCCATTGCTTAACTCTTAATTTATATAATTTACTTATGCATAATAAAAGTTTTTGGGCTAGATGGTGAAAGTCTAAATGTGTCGTTAACTCGCCACCACCCGACACGGTCAGTAAGGTTTGTGATGTAAACAAAACGCGCCAATTAGTTTACTACTTCAGCCCACCGGTGTGTTGGAGAGTAAATCCACAACATTTACAATTTGAGTATGACGTTTCGCTTGGTAATTACATCCAGCAACATCGGGCGATTTTACCAGTGAAACGTCGTACTCAAATTGTAAATGTTGTGGATTTACTCTCTAACACACCGGTGGGCTGTAGTAGTAACTAATTGACACGTTCTGTTTACATGACAAACCTTACTGGTTGGCTGTGTCGGGTGGTGGCAGGTTAACGATACCTTTATACTTTTGCGATCTCCCACATGAACTTCTATTATGGATTATATTGGGAGCCAAAGCTTACGTGTCTAACTGATCATTTACTTACTTCGCTGGTGACAGCGCACTGTTTCTGCATTGGAATTCATAGACATCTGCGATTGTATTTCTATTTAAAGCTTTCGTGACTGCAAGGATTAATCTTCTTTGGTTCTTTCGGTATAGTCACGTAGAATGAGAATAAAATAATAAAATAAAACAATAAAATTCTCACGACGTTTCGGCCACAACACAAGTGTGTGTTGTGGCTCTCATCCCGACGGGTTGTTCCTTTCACATGAAGAAGGCCACTTGTGTTGTGGCCGAAACGTCGCGATAATTTTATTGTTTTATTTTATTATTTTATTCTCATTCTACGTGACTTTACCGAAAGAACCAAAGAAGATCTGCGATTGTGTCATACAGAGTTGCCACGGGTGCTGTGCTATGACCTTGAGAATGTTTAAACCATCTTAACCACCCTCTCCCTCTGCTGGACCTTCTACTTGCCACATTAAAATATCTATTTGATTGCTCCTCCTAACAGCAATTTGATTTAAGTGACAGTTACTTTACTCATTTATCTTAAGCACTAACTCCTACCTTAAACCCTCACTTAGCAGCGTCACAAGTTCAAAATTAATGGTTATATCACTCCCCTATTGATACCATGGACTTGTGCGAAACAGATTTTATAGCAACAAAACAGAACTTCAATGGCACAATTGGTGATGACTGCAATGGGTATTTTCCAAACGATGCTGCAATAAAAAAAAACAGCCACAGTGATTCTGAATTATCACCTAATACTATTAATGTTTACCACGCGGTCGTATAATCCAGATTTCGGCGTATTATCAACATTAATATCAAAACGCAATTAAAACATTTTTAATTGGAGGGGGGGAGGTGAAAATCCAAGAATGGACAGAATTTTTTTTAACACGAATGTATCACCCCATGCTATAAAGTTGGATAGAGAACATTGCAACAGCTGTAATAGAGCAATATTTATACAACACATTCCTTCTACGCGAGACACTGCCTCCTCCTGTGAACGTGAGCCAATGCACATTTTATGAGTTTATGAGTCAGAAGAACGCCGCTATCCTAGTCCAGATGTGTAAGATTATAAGTGCTGTTATGCGTGTTAAGCACAACACCCGGTGACACGTGGCACGTGAACCCTGAGTGGACCTCCCTTAGGTTAACTCAGCCTCAAAGGAGTGCCTGGTGCAGTGTTGGTCAACAAAGGCGGCCGTGAATTGTCCTAGATCCGCTATTCCCTCGTGTGTCGTGCCAGCCTTAATAGGCAATCACTAACAGCACTTGTACCTGACAGTCTATAAAGCTAAATAAGGGATCTTTGTCTTTGCTTTTAGATGTATAATTGTTTTCTGTTTTACTTACACTCGCATAAGTAAAATTAACGGACAACTGTTAGGGAAATCAAAGCAAAGTATTCTCTGAATGGCGGATGTCCTAAGTGGCATTACCCAATTTGCTGGGAAAAAGAACTGTAGAAAAGCATGCATTAAATGTAATTAACAAAGAAAACACACTGCAAAGAACGATAAATCAGAAGAATCTTTGAGCTTTCCACTTAGAATGCAAATTTAAACCGAGGCTGTTGTACACATTCAAAATGCCCAAATTGGTCAGAGTAGAGAATGCAGCTTTCAGTGAAAACCGTCATGTCCAAATTGTAAAAAGTGCACAAAAAAATCTTTGGTTGAATATTAAAGTATTGTCATGCACACGTCACCCTTCCTGAAAAATAAACCTCGAGTCTCCATTGGTTCTCATCTGGTACAATAAAGTATATCAATCCGTAAACCAGAACGTGAGAAAAAATAAGATTGATACGTTATTTTGTACTTGTTAAGCAACTAACTTTACTGCCTTAAAAACGTTTTTAATATTTTATGCTGCTATGCAGACATGGGAGGGGGGAGCAGTGGCACAGTGATTACTGCACTGGGCCAAGAACCCCAAAAAACCCAAATTCGATTCCTGGGCATGGTTAACACGAGTGGCGAGTGACATCGGAACCCATCCTGGGCACACCCTTCACCAAGCTGCACTAACCAGCATGGTGAAGTATGGTCAAACAACCCCCAAGACCAACAAGGCATTAGTAGGCGTAAGAGGTGGATTGACACAGGTCCGCTATACAGACATTAACTTAATCATGAGCATTAACCCACAATATTTATAAGAGCTTTTTTCTCTGCAGGTGCCAGTACACTATTTAAATTGAGTAAAAACCAAAGGTACGAAACATAACCCTTGAGAATGCTGAGACAGATGCGGAGCTACCAAAAATTACATTTCCAAACACATGCTGAACAATGTTTAATGTGAAGCGGGATCTGACTCAGATGTGCCTCATGAGTACTGTATCACTCAAAACGTTTGGAAGAAGTACGAAAACCAAACTAAAGACCATCTATGGCATCAAGTTGGGCATGCAATGCATCATGGGGAAAAAAGGTTGCAATACGCACATACCGTTGTGTAAATGCGATGCACTGCCCTTGTGCAACGACACCAGTTTATCACGAATTAAAATGTGAGCAAGACTCTTAAGAAATCCCTGTTTGTATAACAGATTTGTTGAATGTATTTGTTTAATGATGATCATATCTTGTACATCCACATATGAAGAAGTAATTTATACGGCAAATGATACTGAACGTTTATATTATGTAAATTAAACAAACATGTTTAAAGCAGTCATATTATTTTCGTGAAATTATGTTTAAGAGCGAATGCATCGATGTACTGTGAGTAATTTTGATACTTTTACACAAAGTTTTGATAGTTAGGTGAAAGCTAGTACAGCCTTGCATAAAAAGAATAGTGTGAATGTGCTTTTGGCACTCTTAACATATCGTTTTCCTTCATAACATATCTACATACCGTATTTTAATTAAGCTTTACACGTTTTACACCTGCCTACACACAATCCCACATTTTCTCCCCAAAAATATCAAAATATATGCTTGTCAATATGGTGGCAAAACTTTATAACTTGAAGCTACACTGAGTAAGCCGTCCAGATTTATTCACATTTCATTTCAATGCAATGTACTAGCTTATTTTCAATACAAAGTCTGCACTAATTAACTTAGTCCTTCTGTTAACAGCGTCTCTCCGCTTCAAAAATCAATTGCAAATTCCAAAAAGCACTTTCCGCAACTCGTAACATTACCGAGGTGCATAAAAATAAAAACAAAATAAAAATGCACTGTGGTATTTCGACTTAAACAATAAACAAATTCACAACATGGCCCTGGCAATAAAGTTGCATTCATCAAGGGTAAATAGGTGGGAAGAGTTTAAAAAAAAAAAAATACTGAGCAACTTGTTTGAGACGCTCTTACTTTCAAACGTATCGACTTTAAAGTGTTTTCACTGCGCTTCCCCGAGCTGGTTGCCGGCAGCTTGCGGGAGGGATGGGTGGTCCTGCTCATTGGGGGCGTTGAGGATGCGCCGGTGAGCCTGCCGGAGGTACTGCTGCTGCTTGAAGTACACCTTGAAGGCGCCCTTGATGGCCACGAACGCAATGCCGCCCTGTGCGCAGAACAAACGCCGCGGCGGGGGAGAAGCAAGACGGCGCGCACGCGCGCCGTGCCGCCGGTGTCAGTGACGGAGAAATGTCGAATCTCGGCGCGCCACCGCTCGCGCCGAGCGGCGGAAATTGCGTGCGCTCGGATATTGACGTTCAGGTCGACCTTAGCAAAAAAATAATAATAAAATAGTGAAAGGCATTTTATACCAAAGGGGTTCTCAACATTTGACTTCGTGAGCTCTTGGCTCGGCTGAGCACACTGCTACTGGGGTCACGCACAACGGGTTACCAGCCCCAGGAAGTGTTTTTGGGTTGCGCCACGTGTTGTTCGGCGTGATGTCCGACGGTTTGCTCCACGTGCCGGGGGCTTCTTTTAGTAACCGAATTGAGTTGCACATCATGGCCGAACAACATGCGTTGCAAACCGGGGGGAAAAAAAACACTCAGCTGTAGAGGAGAACTGCGACAATCCGCGCAGTATGTAAGTAAAATGGGTACCAATTGAAACATTTTAAAATGAGTACCCACATATGGAGGAGAGACTGGTCCCTGCCATGAGAAAGTGTAAACACTTTATGCCCACATGTCACACGTTGGTAAGTGGCCATTCAAGCCTGGAAGAGCGATGAGCCTCGGTGGACACCATGGGAGCATGCAGATGGTGCGCTCCCCCCCTGCCTGAAACGTCTAATTCGCACCGTCATTTAATTAATTTCACTTGGATCCCACTTGGTGCCGAATGAAAGGAATGTGCGGAAAGATCGAGGGTGTTCACGTAAGCGTCACAGAACAGGGTGCCAGGGTGCTCACTGCCACCAGTTGCGGACTCAAACTAAACTACATTTTTTTATTTTACCAGGTAAGGCCCACTGTGCTATGCAGCTCTCTATCAGAAGCGACCTGGCCACGATTGATAGCTCAAGGAAGTAGCTTATCACGTGGAAATTTATAGCAGCCAAATACTCTAAACGCATGTTTCTAAATGTGGAGGGAAAAACCGGAGGACCCGGAGAAAAATCCACATGACCAAGGGGAGAACATGCACACTCCAAACATACAGGAGTCGTGAGGGTCGGGATCAAACCCACGACCTCCTGTATACCAGGCGAGGTAGTTAACATCTCGCCACCGCAGCCCTTTCAGGAGAGTGTACAAAGATTCCTAAAATAAGAAAAATTCAACACAGTTCTCAATACCACTGCTTTAAATAAACAGTTAATCAAATATTTTGTGTTGTGGGATTATGAAATGACTGTGTCATTGGAAATAATACAAGCCAATGGAAAATTCCAGCACGGAAATAAAAGGCAAAAGACAAAATCAACTTTCAACAGACTAAGCGATTTTTTTTGTTATCTGACATCGTCTAATATCTTAAGCGCCTGCTTTCAAAGCAATTGGCAAGCAATTCTTCCATATAAACTAGCCTTGGTTCCTAAAAACAGCTTGAAGGTCACGTTCAAAATGCGACGAAACTTTCAAAGACCGCTGGAGGTAAAGACAAACTTCATCAAAAAAACACACGGTCGTCTCTCTTGGTCCAAGTTCAAATAAATACCAGAGCACACACACTAAGCTGTCACTTTTGTCAACGTGTCGCTCACGCTGATACAGGAAAAAACTCGGAAGGCGGGCACAGTCAAGACATATACGGGGGAGTGCTTTTATCGAGCCCAATTGGTACTGACATCCCCACGTGACCACAGCATTGCATATGAATGAACTGCTGCCCGCCCACCCAAGCAAGCCTCCGCCGGTTCGCTATTGTGCAGTGCAGGAAACCGTGCAACAATGCAACCTTTCTTTAGTGTGCGCAGTTGCAAAGTGTACATAATCGGGTTATTGATATCATTAGGATGCTCTGATTGCACGTGCACGCATCCTGTTGCCGAGCTTTTCGCTGTCCTAATTCAAACAGAACTCCCTTAATTACTGACCTTTGGCCCGTGACAAATTCATCTTTTACTGTAATCAATCACGGATATCTTAATGACCTGCAGCATTGTGCAAATTCAAAGCCCCCCAATTAACTCTGCACGGCAGAGCACGGAATGCCACAGCAGGAGAGGAGCTTTCAAATTACCGTTCTGGATGAACTTGGGTTTTGCCAATAATAATCATCATTCTTGTGAAACTGGCATGATGGAAACCACTGGCTTAAACACAAACAAAAGGGGCCTCAAAGTATTGCAAATGATTGGATATGTCTTCTTTTTCTCTTCATCATCATTATTATACTGACTTCCTCACTGGTGGCACAGTAACTTTGAGAGGTAATCAGTCTGATTATTGGTAACTCAAGGTTTTTTAAGCAACATAACGCCCAGAAATTTGCGTTTTTTAAGTAATGTAACAAAGTCAATTACTGTTAAGATTACTTTCTTGAAAATAACAAATATTGTATTGACTATTAACAGCACTACACCACAATTGGAGACTTGTAAGCACACTTTCTCACTACGCGCATTTCATCCTGGGGTCCTGGCATTAACCTAAGCCTCCTTTCCAATCTTTATAGTTTTTTACAATCGTTTCTGGATTAAAAAAAAAACTAAATGAATATGAAAAGTAATTGACGACACACGTTCGTGCAACGTTTGATCAATTCCTGATGGGGCTCCAGTGGCCCCAGAGTCCTGTGAACTAGCCCTCGCTGGGCGGAGGCCAAACGGTGACATTGCCCTCTCCGCCCAAGTGGCCCGCCATTCGCCCCCCAGCCTTGGCTCAGCTCCATCCCTTGTGTCATCCCTTTCTTCTGTAAATAAAAAAAATACCATTTATTTACTCGTAAAGGTCTCATTGCCTTTCAATCCTCTGTTTTTCAGGAGGGTCTCTTGTTGTAGATGTTTGGCCAATGTTTTTATTGAGCGGCTTGCGTGTGAAAAGAAAACCCAGAAATGCTCAAAGCTCTGCAAAGACGAATTAAAATGATACATTTCTCTCTGTTTTTAATCTCCTCACCACCTAGGGGCACAAGCCTACCAACATCTGGTGTTGTTATTAAGCTTTGGTATATTCTGCACGTTGCTACAAGGTGGGCTAGAACATCACAGTAACAGCCAAAACAGAGAACACATTTCTGAATGTCCGCCACAGAGATGGAGCACCTCAGCTGGATCGTGTGTAGGCTGCTAGGTGGATTGTAACATCGTGGCACCATGGAAAATGGCGATGGGTTGTTGAGGCCTTTGTTCAGCAGTGGATTGATGTGCCTAATGATGATGATCATTATACACCTACTACGATATTCTAAAATACCTACATAGATGTGTTAAACTGCAAAAAGTGTTCATAAAATGGCAATAAAACAAAGCTAAAATCTTCTCAAGTTGATTAAAAAATTTTTAACGCAAGGGGGGTTTTTATTATGTGTGCAGTCAATGGCGATCTGGCTGTCACAATCAAGCCAACTATTCAGTATTTGAGAACCTGTTTTTCATAATATGGATAAGCAGACAATGTCCCTTTTATAAATCCGTCTCTCCATGTAAAAGTATATTTTTTTAACTCAACCCAGCCCCACGGCCTTCACCTCTGCAAGGTACGTCTCCTCGGATGCATTCCAAGCATCGGCTCCAACGCTGATGGTTGTGTAAAATTAATTCGCATTTTTTACGTGGAGAGTCAGCCATTGCAGCACCAATGTTTTAGAACAACCTTGTTTCCTCCCTTAACATCACAAATCTTCCTTCAAAACATATTTTGAGGCAGACGATTAGCGCTAGATACAGCCACATTTGCCAATGTGATTTCTAAATTCAATCCTTAACAATGTATTGAGAGTTCAATTTTAATGTACAATCTTTTATTGAGGGCACGGTGTCTTGTCTTGGTGTCGTCTGGGAGTGTTTTTTGCTGTTGTTTTACTGCCTTTCCGAAGCTTGGCAATTGATGATGCAATTTGAACTTGTATACTTTATTTACTTATTGAAGGGGCGCCACAGTGGTGTGACAAGTGATCTTCCTCGCCTGGCACGCAGGAGGTCGTCGGAGGGGGTCAATCCCGACCCTGACGCCTGTATATTTGAGGTTTGCATTGATTTTTTTCTCTACTGGGTCCTCCCGTGTTTCCCCCCCACATTTAGCGACGTGGATTGAGATTTCATTTAGATTTTTTTCTGGTGCTATAAATGTCCAAATGATGGGCCACTTTGTTGAGCTATCATTTGTGGCCAAGTTGCTTGTGAAAAAAAAAGTTAATACCTCAGCGGGCTTTGCCTGGTGGGTTTAGTTTTATTTGTTTGTGTTTGGGTGATTTGTTTATCTTTCTCGTACTTTGTACTATATTCATGTTTTTGTAACTGTTTGTTGATGTAACGTTCTACCCGCTCCTACTCGAAATCTGTGAAAGAGTTTTATAGCTCATCGGATTCCTCCTGTATCAATAAATAGTCTGATATGACGTCTGCTTACCTATTTTGTTATATCCTCCACAACGATGGTCATGATTATTTTGTGTTTTGGTTTTAACCATACATGGGTGCTTGCCAAGACTCAAACCTAACATCTCAGTAGTGGTGGCCCGGTGATCAGCCACGGTACTAACCCCACAAGCCACCACCCGGCTCATCTGATGCATAGCCTATGTGCGGCCACATCAGAGCGAGCGTTAACTTTCACATCACGATGCACCATGTGAATCGCTGGAGGCCACATGGCAGAGCAACGGTAAGTGAGGGCACATATTGGATTTGCATGTTCAAATGGCTTCTCCCCGCTGCGCAAGCAACCCACATTGTTTCCTTACACAGTAGAATTGTACGATTCATACTGAAAGCCTATTGGCTCAGCCATGAAACCAGTGGGTGCAATTTTGTAACATAAATAAATATATAACCAACAGCTACTTGCTGCAGCAGAAAAAAAAATACATAAATACTTTTTAAACAGACTTGGTTTTTTTTCATGTGACAGCTCACAGTGAGAGCCCGAGGGATTGACAATGGCTTCAAAAACCTCTCAATTTCAGAAGCCAATCACAAACTTTGTCGGCATACGTACA